TTGTAACATCCAATCGGACAATCCAAAACAAAATTCTCTTCATCTGTCATTCGGAGCCAATTTCATCAAGGCATGGCCAGAAAGCAGCAAAACTTCACAACAAAGAATTATTTCCAAATAACAACGAATTATTTCCAACAGAATTCACCATAACTTTAATGAGCCCAGTCATGAAACTTTGGCCACCCTCTGAAGGCGTCAGCTGCAGAGATCGATTCGGTTGGCAAATAAGCAATTCACTGATACAATCAAATTTAAGACTAATCACATCGCTCAAATACAATCTTCAAAACATTCCAAATTGTCTGGGTACATCAATAAACTAAACTGATGAATATCACAACGAACAAGTGAAATATTCATTTCATTAATCAACCCATCGGATCAGCTGATATTTACGTTTACCCCAACAAACCAAAGTGGCATTTTTCCCCGACAAGAGAATCTTCTCAAAGTTAATTTTTGCATTCGGATCAACAAATTTTTCGCCATTCAATGAGAACGCTCCTTTTTTCATCAGTATCGAACCACGCATTTTATCCGACCTCGTTCGATCTGCCAAATCGCCCATTGTCACTAAATCCGATTTAGACAATCGCCGAATTGATGCATCACCAAAGAGTTGTTCCAATGTTTGCAATGGGATGCGCTCAATATCCGCTAAACTACCTGAATATCAACCAATACATGAATGATACCGCTGTTGATAGACAGACCTTACATCATTTCTATCACATACATAGTTTTAATGAACCAGCTCTTATCGTCACTTCCAAATTGTATACGAATACAAGGATCGCAAACAAGACGTTGTGATCATTTATAATAAAAACAAACCAAAAAAAACAGAACAAGTATGGCATAACCTTTAAAGAGCGCATTAGAGCATTGTTGAGCAAGCCGTAAACCATCTGCACCATGTATCAATTGCGTTAATTCTTTCGCAAGTTCTTCTTGTGCTATCCATTTGCCCAAATTAGATTCGTGTTCTGATAGGATCGCATTCATATCATCCAATGATTTCAATGAAAAGTACCTGAGAAATGAAACGAATGAACTGTGATCATGAAGATATTCCTCGTGTTAAAACTTCTTTTCCAAAATTGTCGGTTTGACAATTTACTCTTCCACTGCTACTCCATCAGATTTGGTATGCAGAGCCGATTACACATTCATTTCGAAAATATTGCTCAAAAAACGTTCTCATCTGAGCAACATTTTCTTAATTCTAAAAAGAAGCAATAAAACTGAACAAAAACTTGATCTCCAATCAACAATTCTCATCAAAATCATCAACAATTGAAAAAGTCACCTCCTCTTCTCGTTGAGACAAGTCAACACCATACGATGAAGTAGCAACTAACCTCATCAATGGAACAATTTGGTTGTCAGGTTGTTGTCTGAAAAACTGATAAAATGCGTACGGAGACGTCTTATTTTCAGACAACCAAACGCTCTCCTTGCAATCCGTTACGGATTTGCCCAGCTTATTACCAGATGAATCTGTGATCAGAGGCAGGCATATGCCCGCCGACAGACGTTTTGTTCGTCGACGAATGTAATCATAACCAGCATCTAAGTGCCCCAGTTGATCACTACCGCCAATCTAAAAATCTGACCATTTCTTCAGCAAAATCATCAGAAAACTTCAAATATCCCACCCAAATCCGCAAATATAAATGAAGAATACTTCAACATTTTCTCTGCAAAGAAACACAAAAAAAAAGAGATGATTCTGTCTGAAGGCGATGATATTTAGGGTGAAAACCGATTATTTTAAACTATAAAACAAGAGCAAATCAAAAAGTACACATTGAATGTGACAAACCTGAAAATAGCAATTGTATTTTTGTGTTAGTTGATACCAATCATAAGACTGCATAATTTGATAGAGAAACTCAGAACACGGCAATCCATGATTTTCACGCATTCGCGATTTAATAGCACCTAATCGTAGCATATCACCGACTCGAAATAAACGACATATACGAATAAATTCCAATGATGACATCTGGAAGAATCACTTATATATCTATAAATTACCCGTTGAAAAATGACAACATTACGTTCAGTAAGTGAACAATATTGAAATTCAGTGGATGACGCTTCAAAAACGTCCAATTGAAATTGAAACATTCACTCCATGATGAATTGATGAAACTTTCACAAAAATTTTCGATGCACAATAGGGAAATCAATTCAGTGATTCATCCAAAATCTCGTACATTCGAATGCCACTCAGCATTATCAACAATATCCAATCGTTTCACAGTCTCTCGGTCAGATTGCATTTCGTAGAAGTTCTCAGAAATTCTCTCCAACTGTCTCCTTATTTCTTCTTTATTCATATTGATCGTCTCCTCGGCTATTTCCAAACGGTCTGAACAACAACTGAATACATCAAAATTAGTTTACCACCATCACCTTCAACACGATTCATCCAAATTTAACTAATACGAGCGATAAAGAAACGAATCTTAGGAGGAATATTGGAAGCTCACTGTCAAAGTCAAATCCCATTATTTACTATCCATAATTCTCGCTCGTTATCGTATCACTTGCTCTTGAATCTAATAATAACTTCAACCAGGAGATCACATAGAATAAAGGCAATCATATGAGGGACACATTTCCAAAACATTAAAAAACTATCGAACAATACATTGAAACGATCATTATTAACCTGTATCACGACCACTTGGGTCACCCACCAGCGCTGTAGCGCCTCCAATTAATGCTATTGCATGACATCCATGCTTGAGGGATCTTAACAAATTTGAAAATATCAATAAATTACCCACATGTAAACTGTCCGAAGTTGGATCAAAACCTGAAATTTACAATGAATAAATTTGACGAATTCAATCTCTTACAGATGAAAAACATGACAAGACAGCTTTACTGGTTACGTTATAAAATCTAATCGTTACAGTGTGCGTTTTGGACACCACAAGATCTGAAGAGCGTGATTTTGTTGCTCGCAATTGATTTAAACAATTATTCACTCAGAAGTATTGGAAACAAGACTACCGTAATCAAAGGAGAATAAGAGGCATATTTCACCCGAAGATCGTGCGATGCACCTAATACTGGAAGTAATAAAACACAGATAATTAAACAGCACAGGTGAATTGAGTAACCTGCATAGATAACATTTGGTAAATGATTTGCAGATTGGAAATTGTTTTCGATAAATGCAGGTGGTTGACTTAGTGAGATGAGTTGCCGATTGGATAGATCAATACAGAAATTCTGTAGGGCATTCGAGGTTGTAGCAGATGAAATGGAACAACACGACGAAAGAATCGATGGAAACCTAATCGACAAACCGGAACTCGGTCGAAACATTAAGAAATGGAGGAAAGAAACGTCTGAAACAAGTGAAAGACACACCTTATGAAACGCACTGTTTCATTTTCAAAAATTTAACATGCACATGGAAAACCCAAAAGAGGGCAAACATCTCCGAATGAAAAAAAATA